AATGCGTGCTTCGCTATGTTAATTTATTAGGAGGAGCTAACACTTAATTCATATATATCATTCACTTTTCATTTAGATTCGATGTGGGACAAGTTCTCTTTGTTATGTTCTTCTTCATTCGACCTCACAACACTTTCGTTATGACTCGAGCCACCTTGTCTTGGGGTGCAGACCTAAATGTTCTACGAGCCAAATACTTGGCATGACATCAGCTTAAGAACGGACTCTAATACCAATTAAAATAAGTGAGCTTTTGTCCAATAATCAAAAAAGACTTGAATTACTCCGTGCTTAATAACCATGCATACCTACTGATTTATAGTCATTTACTTTCCAATCCAAATCCCCATCGACGATATAAATCTCTTACTTGCTGCATTTAAATACATCTGAATGGCAATTCCGGCTTTTCAATACTTTCATTTAAAACACATCCATATCTTCAAGCGAGTACAATAAACTTAAAAACCACGGCGCGTACGCATATAACCTCCCTCTCTCTTAAATGAATAATGTATGGGACCGGATAGAGATGTTTAGTTTTGGCAGAACGACGACCGTGACGCGTATAGTATCCTCCGGGCTGAGCGATAGGGCCCACACAGATTCTTTGTGGAGAGAGAAAATCAGAGAGAGAGAGAGAGAGAGAGAGAGAGAGAGTTTTATGTTTGAGAGAGAGAGTGTGTCTTCATGGTGAAAGCGCAGCGTTAGGGCCCACACAGATTCGTTGTAGAGAGAGAAAATCAGAGAGAGAGAGAGAGAGAGGGAGACTGAGAGTTTTCTGTTTGAGAGAGAGAGTGTGTCTTCATGGTGAAAGCGCAGCGTTACTGAAACAAATCTTCAGTACCAGGTCTGAAAAAAAGATATGGCTGAGAAGGACATGAGATAGCAGCACTAATTGGAGTGCCGGTACTGTTTCATTGCAGAGTTTTCACTCGCAAATGGATGTACACATCTATTTTGAAAAGGAAAGGAATGAAACAATGAATCTCTCTATTTTTTATAGTAAAAAAAACAAGAAAAATTTGGAAAATAATACATTAACCACAAAAATAATTTTTATACAAAAAGTTTATTCAGTTCAAAAAATCATAAAATAAAATTACAATAGACATCTCGAGAATGATTTAAAAAAAAAAAAAATTTAACACAGGTACTGTTGCTTAAATAACAATATATATTTTTAACATTATACATAAGTGATAATTGAATTTTGTTGCCAAAAAAAAAAAGATAATTGAATTTGAATTATGATATGACCATGTACACAGTACAACTATATTAACAGAGTAGTAAGCAATATTATGTACATTTTAGACAGAAAAAACAAATCGAATTTGAACTTAAAAGAATATAAATTAATATTCTTGGCAATAAATTTTGCACCATACAACACTTCTAGGTTCTTTTTCCTTTTCTCTCCTTCTTTTTCTTACAATAAGTTCTAACAATTCCATTACATGGATATAACCAACAAGTACAGACACAGATTGGGGCCATTACTAACTGAACTGGGCCATTTTGGACTGTAAGTAAAGTGGGCTGACTTAAAGCTGATGGAAAAAAAAAAAATGCTAGGGTTTTCACTTTTCAATTTTAGAAACTTCTATTAAGAATATTACCGGCCAGGATCAAAAGCTTTATCCAACGGTTGATGCGGGAAAGAACTAGGGTTTCCAATGCTAGAAACTTCAATACAGAGATACTCAGTATACTATAAGTTAAATAAAAAATAATGATAAAGTGAGAAAAAAAAAAAAAAACAGAGTGCAATGGCTAAAGGTTCTAAGGCCCAACCCCTCTTACTATTTTATTTGACTTGGGTCGACATACTGATCCAAAAAATTCCCACCCAGCAAACTAAGGCCCATTCCTTCAATTTCTTCCTGCAACGTCTAAGTCCTTGAGCCAAATTCCAAACTGAGCTTCACTAGAGAAGTTGAAAACACAAATTAAATTATTTCTATACAAACATTAAAAGTTTTTCATTTTTTTTTTCTTTCTTTTTCCATTTTTATTTTGGTGAGAAACATTTTTTTGACTCATTCAAGTTTTGTTTTGTCCTTACAAAAGCATACAACTCATGCTTCTTTTTAATACCTTTTCAACAGTAAAGCTTAAAATACACTAATTCTATCAAGCTAAAAAAGCTACTCACATTACATTGTTACAATAGGTCATTATTCATTCTTCCTCATGCTTCTGCCAGAAAACAGAATTGGTGCTAATAGTTTAGTCTCCGGAGGAAATATTTCATACAATATATACTCGAGCCGCGAAAGCCAATAACCAACTTGTTAATGCATGAATTGAACACAACAAAGTTGTATTTGTATAAGAGAATTCATCAAAATAATAATAATAAAAATAAATAATAAAAAATACCCAATACAAATAAATTGATCATCTAAAATCCACTTATGGAACTCTAAAAGGTCAAGTCTTTTTCAGCCTCCTCAACCACCAAAAAATACACACCACTTGTTTTTTTCACATGCCTTTCAACACTAAAGCTTAAAATCACTAGTTATGCATCCTATCAAGCTATGAAAACCAAGTTGAAGCTTGTAGTTTAGTACCTAAAGAAAATTTCCCATACACGTGACATACAGTATATTTGAGCAGCCAAAGCCAATAATGAAACACCAAGATATGAACTGTCAACTGTGGTTTCCTTTGGTGATCGATAATACCAACTTGTTAATGAATGAACTTAACAAAGTTGCATTTGTAAATTAAAAGAGAATTCATCTGAAAAATAAAGCACACTGGCCAATACAAATTCCAATGGAAAGACGGCATCAAAGAGCACCAGAGGATGACATTTATCTACAATATTGTTAGAAAATAATTTGAATGATAAAAATGCTTCATTCAAATACCCCTGAAGTTTAAAAGTGTTCATACACACCCCTCTATCTGAGAAAATGACTATTTTAACCTTTGACTAGGTTAACAAATACATAAAAAATATATATATAAATTACTAATATAACTTTGCAAACTAGATCTACGCGCAGTGAAGCGTGGAGAGCGTGAAAATGCGTAAAGCGGCGATCTGAGGAAGAAAACGATCCAGTCCGCTGCCACCACCACCCAATTGTTGTTCTTCTCTTCGCCTTGGGTAGAGTTAGATCTTGCTCCGTGGTCCAACAACTTGCTCGGCCAGTGTATGGGTGTGTGGGTATGGCGGTGGTTGTGGTGTTGTGTGTGTGGGTGTGACCAATTGTCTACGTTGACCCTGTGGCGTTGTGGGTGTGGTGCTGTGTTGTGTGGTTGTGGCGGCGGGTGTGGCGTGTTTGGTTGTGGCGGTGGTGGGTGAGAAGAGATTACATATATTGATTAAGGTTATTTTTCTTAATTAACATGTTGAAAAAAGGTAATATGACTTTTGAAACTTGAGAAAGTGTTGATGTAAATTAGTGCGTTGTCTTACCTTTAAAATTTTAAACTGAAGTTTTTGCTTCAAATTAGATTTTAATCACCTGTAACGCTGTGATGTTTTGCTAGTATATATATATATATTGGTTTTTTTTGGAGTATATATTATATCCAACTTCTTTAGTATGCATAATTTTTTATTTTTTTTAACACTCCTACCGTCGCAACTTTTTAGGAGCATGTTTGGTGCTGCTTCTTTGATGAGAGGCTTCACAGCAACAATAACGTCACCAAACATAAAAATAACTCCCCCAAATTCAATTTTTTATTTTCTTTTTAGTTGGGGTAATCGACACACCCACACAAAATGTTGGGCGCTCTACCCCTCCTTTTTTGTTAGTACTAAATATCCCCCAACCAATATTGTGGTGGTATCGGTAAGACTGTGTAACAGACGTTATCACCACCGTGTTAATTCTTTTTAGAAATTTAGTGAATTTTATTAATTTTTTAAAATATTAGTTAGCCAAAACAATTATGTTTTTATAAATTTATGCTATTATCGTTATTAAAAATGATTAATAATAATATTTTTAAGAATTTAGTGATTAAAAATAAACTTAATTATGAAATAAATAAAAAGTAATAATAATATGTATATGAGAATGAAAAAATAAAAAATAAATTTATATATATATATATATATATATATATATATATAATAACTAGGTGTATAATAATAACTAGGTACATAATAGAACCGGTTCTTCCGTGAATTTTGTAACATATATACATATATAATAACTAGGTGTATAATAAGTACTAGGTATATAATAGAACCGGTTCTTCCGTAATCGGTCCTCTCCAAATCCGGCCGGTCAAAAATGAATTCCTTGGGAACCATTCGTTTCCAACTAAATGATCATTTTATTAGAACTCAAAGAACCTCCTAAATAAATTCCTTGGGAACCATTCGTTTCCAGCCCGGTTCCCCTAAATGAAAACTCAAAAGAACCTCCTCAGCAAACAGAACAAAGAGTAGCAGGACCAGCTTTAAAAGTTCATGACAAGTGTCAATTAAGTTGTGGCTAGCTAAGAAATGACAGGAGAAAAAACAAATACAAAAAGCAAATAAACAAAAGAAGGGAATGTATATCATGAAGGCATGATCACGTGACAACAAAAATCACCAATCCTAAAAACAGGAAATGCTTGTTTGCTTTCAGTTCCAAAGACGAGCAAAAATTAAAGATTTGCACTTAAACGGTCCCTAATATGTTGATTTGAATCAAAAGGATCCCACATGATATAAGAATAAAAATAGACAAATTCTTCTTACCATATAATCAAGGGTAGATTAACAGACACTAGACATCCCTGAAAATGAAACCTTGGACCTTTCTTTTTAAGGGTAATGCATTATAACTCAAATTCCAGTTGTCCCTGATGTGAAAGACCATCAGAACTGTTATAGAAGCCTTGAATCAACTAGAAAATATTGAGCATTACAAAATGCCCTCATCCCTGCAAATATGACCATTACACCGAAATAAAGCTCACGTGGGTTATTTAAATAGATATCTAGGTAAAAAGATACCAAATCTCAAACACAAACCATATGCCAAGTGAAAATGCAATTCTTTCATTTCTTAACTGATCCATTGGACATACAATATACCAGAAGCTATACTTTCCAAAAAAATTGTGGCAACTCAAAAAACAGTCAATTCCGAAAAACCATACCAACACTCCACATCCAAGTCAGTTCCCCAAAACTATACAATCTCCAACTTCAATATACCAACCTCCAAAAAACAGTCAAATCTCCCCTTGGCCATTCTTGTGCTTCCAGTGCGTATGCCAAGTTTGATTGTGTTTCCACCCTGGAATGAGCCTTTTAAAGCCATAACTGTAAACATCAATAATTAGAAAAAAGCAAAAAAATTAAAACAAAATTAACACCCAATGCATAAAGCAACACAGAGTATGTTTGATTGACTTTAGCATAACGTGACAGAAATCCTAACCATTCACATAAAGCAACAGAAATAATGTTTTAAGAAAAACTCTAAACTTCAAAGAATAACAAATCAACACCAACACCCACCAACTGCTTCGATTGTTATGTAAAAGAAGGGACAAATTAATAAAAATGATCAAACCTTCATTTGGGAATCTTAATTAAGTATCAAAAATCATTATGCATAGTATATATTTATACTTACCATAGATGTCGATTGCAGTGCTTCCCTTAACATGGAGCACCAAATGGTTCGATTCGATGACCCTAAGAAAAAATCAAAACCAATGTTTTGCCTCGCTTTACCACGAGCTCTACTCCTTCGATTTGCAGAACCCTAACTAAATGAAATAAGAATGAATGCAAGCCTCAAGAATTCTCATCAGCAAAGATGGGCAGTAAAGTCATTTCTTGTTGTTAGTTGAGGGTAATTGGGTAAAATAACCACCTCCATTGGTCCACTTGATGGTCGTTCAATAAAAAGGGAGGTCCGTGCTAAAGAGGTTTCATTTCCAGGGGAGGCTAGTGTAATTTTTGAAATCACAGGGGAGATCAGGTGCAAGTTACCATATTATTTAAGTATGAACATCAAAACAAGAGTGGTAACATATTAAACCGGTATCTCTAAATTAAAAGCACCAAATTTTAAAAACATCTCAGAACAATCAACAAACTGCATTCATCACCAAACAAACTAAGGTAACAATCAATTACTAGTCCTATAACAAAGAAATACCAGAACATAACCAACAATACACTATTTCAGCCCTCAAATGACACTGCCCATTTATCAGATTTGAATATCATACTCGCATCTCATCCTCAATGAGCATGCCGTTCCATCTTTTTTCAAGTGGGGATAGATCTCCGTGTTTTCTAAGTTTCTCAAAACTCTTAGAACTACATATTGTAGTTCTCTAAAACCCTGAACTCTGTTTAGCAAAAACTATGTTTTGAAGACACATCCAAGCAAATCAAAAACAGTTTTTTTTTTTTTAGTTTTTTGTCACTCTGAAACATTCCAAGCAACGCCCTAGTTACTCACTGTAATTTGCCTTGCACCTTTGCAAATTATCGTACCACATGCAATACACAAATCAAACTTGAACAAAATATAACCACTGTCATTGCAAACAAGTATGTTCATAATCCATACATAAGGCATATCCATTGATCAAATACACTTGCACATTCATGAATAGTGATTATATACATCTGCCCAAATTTACCAACCCACCCAATTGTACCAACTATACTACACGGACAACTATAAGCCTACACAAGCAAAAAAGAGAAGGCATTTCCATCACCTTCCATATAAATTTGCAAATTTACTTGGTAGTAGTTAAAACCCACAAAAGCAAAAGATGGGGATTTCCATCAATTGAGTGCATCCAAAAGAGAGACCGTACATTTCCTAATTGCCAAAATCCCCAAATTTAGTGACCCCCAACTTGGATGGAAACCAATTGTCAAATGATGATAACACTTAAAAAATCCACAAATTGAAACAAAATATCAAACGACAAACGCAATCTTCGAAGTACGACTTGCAAACAACATACTGTTCAAAAAAATGTATAGTTCAAAGAGACTGGAGTTAGAACTTGACTTACCAATAAAGGTTCAAAACTTGATTAGCAGCACAGGTCATGTCAGAATAAGGTCGTAAGAATTTTCTTCTCCCTCGTAATATTCTGAATCATTGATATTGTATGACACCGCATCCATACCATCATGCTGTATTAATATAAACCAAATATTATTTTAAAATAAAATAAAAGAATTAACCAAAAATAGAAAAATAAAAACACAAATGGTGAACATACACTCAAATTTTGGCATGTATTGTTGTCCAACTAGGTGATGTAATCAAGTTCAGACGCAAGTTGCACAGGTAGCAACAGTGGGACCAATTGGATTCTCCATTGGTTGTTTTTTTTTTTTTTCAAATGTATTAACATTATATGCATCAGAATCCATAGGAATACAATCGGCCCAAGGTTGGGTGTTGTACCCAAGGTTCCAATCGTGAGCGCACCTCAGTTGTCACTCTCATCAAGAAATCTATTCTTTCTTGCGCATTACAGAAAGAGGGATTGAGACGTCCTCGTATGAGGCATTTATTCTTAACATCTAGTTGATAAAGCCTATGCAAATTCGTTCTCAACGCTGAATGGCAAGCGCACGTTTTGATATCCTTGTATGGGAAACCACCCGTAAACCTAAAATTATATGAAATTAATAATCACAAACAGAGTTTAAGATAACAAATGCAATAAACAAGAAGGAAAAAAAAAAGCCTAAACAGAATGTATTGTATAAAATCACATGAAAGAAACAAAATGGAAATATGGAAATATATATATATCACCAATCACAATAAAATTTGCAAATAGGAAGGACTTCACAATTAAAGGCACTGTAAGGCATAAAAATAACTCATTAAATCTCTCAACTTGAACTCAAAAAACAACTCTTCAACTCTCATATCTTTTATATCTATATAAAAAAAAGAGAAAATTAACATACTTCAAAACCACCGAAAAGGCATCCACTGGCTGCAATGAATAAGGGACAATCAAAGCATATAAAGAAGAAAATAAGCCAATTCATTTAAGTTACAAAGGAGTGCACGCCTTTAGAGGGACCAAAAGTCTAAATTAAAAGAATCAACCAAAAAACTTGTGAGATCACTTGTTGATTAGTGACAGCAAAAAGCTTGCATGGTGTGGCTTAAATAGGTGGAGATTAATGAAATCATTAAAATTAAGGGCAAATTACCCTAACCTCCCTGAGGTTTGGACTTATTACCTTCGAATGAAAGTTTTGAAAAAATTTAAATCAACCTCCCTTCAGGTATAATGAAATCACAGTCAACCCCAAACTATGAGATAAATTCTTTTCAATACCCTTCAATACACATAATTACTTATTCATTCCTACTAATTATTGTGAGGTTACAAATTTAACCCTATGTTATATCACAAAAAGAATAAATTTATTTCATTTTTAATATACATATTTGCAGAACATGTTATATACACATACATAACACACAAATATACGACCAAAGAAGAACTGGGCAATAGCAACCGATGTCACCAGTTCCCCACAACCATAACCTCTCTTCTCCACCGCCGCCGCCACCACCTCTCTCATCCACCGCCGCCGCCGCCACCACCTCTCCTTCATCAAGCACATTCTTTGCTTCCCTCATATTTGTGTTCTAGACATCACCTTTACACATTTATTTATTGTGTTACTCAAAAAAGAACCCCTACAAACTACAGCTATGTTTTGCAGGATTTCTTGAAGTGAGATATGAACTGATTTTTAGAAAGTCCTTTGTAGATATGCTTTAAAATGAAGATTGCATTTGGTGAATGCCGTGACTGGTTGCTTTTGTGGTTTTTCCCAAGTAGACATGTAACGATTTCATGATGATGTTATACTTCATTCATTTTGCCATCATCCACAACATCTAATCACCATCATAAACTAAAAAAATAAACAGAACTTTCTTATTTAGCACCGACCCACCATTAGATGAGGTCCAATCATAAAAAGAAACTTATATTAGAAAACCAGACAAAGTTAATCAAAACATTATATATATAAAATCCCTAGACCAAAAAAATTTCTTAAAACAGGAAGCATAAAGCTAGTCAAAGCTTTATATAGCGGCCATGGTTTGTGGCAAACACTATACTTGCACTCCAACAAGACCAATAATTGTGAACAAATGCTATCTGCTTTGTAGTCTTGATTGAATGGACGTGATACAGTACAAACACATCTTATGCTTGCACATTGAAAAGTTTGAACTACAAAGTTTTTCATGAAAGGCTTAGATTAATTAATTAATGCAAATGACATTATTAAGAATATTTTCAAATACATGAGAAAGACATACAAATACAATATAGCATCTTTAATTATAAAAATATCAATTCCGAAAACATACCTATATTTTTCCGAGACCACTCATTTCGATCGAATTTTTTCTCATCCCAACAAGTAAACCTAAAATTTGGAAGAAAAAATTTTATTTTTTGCAATATGTACGTTAGTAGTTGGAGTATACACCTTAAAACAACAAACATGTGATTATACACCTTAAAACAACAAACATGTGATTATACACCTTAAAACAACAAATAAAAAATAATAATAATAAGATCACAAATAATGGTGAAATTAAACTGTGGAGGCATATCCAACCCTTTGATTTAGGAATTGTTAGGGCCAAAATTTTAATTGAACCCAAAACAACTAGAGAGATATCAAGGAGTTCTCACAGGACCTCAACGCCACGGTCAGAACACAATGGAGAGAGATAGATCAGAGAGAGAAATGGGTACGGACAAGTTCCAGAGATCGGGATTGTTCTATCTGAAATTTCATGTAGATGAAACTTGAGAGTGAGGGTGATCTATTCGAAATCGGTTGATGGAGATATGTATAACAGAGGGAGAATATAGGTTAGAGAGAAAAAATGAAAAAAAGAGAGAAGAAAAAAGGATGGAGAGACGAGAGTGAAGAACGGCCAGAGTGATTGAAACCCTATATTTGTGTCTGTCTATATATAACCCTAGAAACTGAAATGGTCGACCAAGTTACCCGCCATGGGAACCCAGAATAACACTGAGTAAAGAGTGAACCCAAAACAACACATGGAGGAAATTAGAACTGAAATTAAAACAAAAGAAAGCAACCCAATACCTGGATCGAAAGGGAAAATCGGCGGAGAGTGGCCATTCGGCTGGCCACCGTGCAAAACTCGCAAGCCGATAACCCGCCGGACACAAGAACCCAGACGATCCGACCACCCACATAAACGCCGGAGCTGATCTTGTAGGCAAGCCATCCCAGCGTACCACACCATATGGGAGAAATTACAACTCTGATATACGGAGTAACCTCTACGGGGAGAGGAACAGAAACTCTGATGAACAGAGAGACGGCTCTAGTCTGACATGATCGAGAACTCTCTCTCTCTTCGCTTCCCGGACAGTATCCGGACCCTTTGCTCAGGGTAACCTATAAGAGAGAGACCCATCTAGTTTAAAGCAACGACTGTCTGTGGCTTTAATCAAGCTTATAAAGTTTATAGAGAGAGACCCGTCTAGTTTACATTGGTCAAAAAGTTACTGAAAAGTTATCGGAAAAAGTTGATTAAAAAAAAGTGTTTTACTGAAAAGTTAAAAAGAGTTGCAGAAAATCACATGGCTCACTGCATAGTTTGACCAGTTTTTTTTTTTTTTTTTTTTTTGGTTGTTAGAGTAAGTGGTTTGGGCAGATAAGGTATCTATTTACTTCTTAAAAAGTGATAAAAAAATAAAATAAAATAAAAAAAAAGTGTTTTACTGAAAAGTTAAAAGTGTTGCAGAAAATCACATGGCTCACTGCATAGTTTGACCGGTATTATTTTTGTTGTTAGAGTAAGTGGTTTGGGCATATAAGATACCTATTTACTTCTTAAAAAAGTGATAATGTGATTTTTTAGCCATATGTTTCACCGTAAAAACTAATTATCTCATTCTTTATTTATTATTTTATTTATTTATATATTTTAAAAGCCTTTTATTTGTGTTTTACTCTGTATGATACAATCTAGAAGTCACACGGTCAATTAAACAAAATAAAAAATTTAGCGAATTGTCTAATGCCCCACTCTATCTGGAAATAACTTCGTAAAGAGTAGTTATAGGCCCACAAAAAAGTCATCTCCTTGTTACTGCGTACCAACCCCCTCTCTCACTTCACTGACACAAAATCACTCTAAAATGACTTGCGCCCGATGCTCTTAGAGGACGCGACTGTGAACTGTCTAGTTGTTGGATAAAAAAACTGTTATAATTAATACATCCTAGTGGTGAGTTTCTTTTAATGAGTTCTAGATATCATGCTTTTGGTGTGTTATGTTTTTTTACTTTGTTATTTTTTCACATATTAAGTTGTTTTTAAGTTTTAGTTGAATCTAGAAAGCAAATTTTGTATATTAATACATATATGACCACTATTTTGCTTGAATCTGTTTTTGCATATTTTTGCACATTAATACATACATGACTACTACTGTTTTTGCATATTAAAGTGGTTCTTGTATTCAATGAATATGTTTGGTTAAATCTGGAAAGCATATTCAGTGATCTCATGCCAAACTAAAATTTTGTAATTTAAATTAAAAAAAAAAAATTAGGGTCAATTTTACTATAATATTTTTATTTATTTATTTATAATACTTTGTATTAAACATGATAATTAAATTTGAACGTCACATCATATCATAATGATCATAATGAAGGGTTGTTGTATAAATTTTTGATAACAAAAAATCTACCCGTGCAATCAATGAGGGTAGTGCTGGTTGTACCATACAATTACATTGAAATTAAAAACCATTTCTTTAAAAAATTGTGCAATTCAATTCATGCTTTAGTTAAAATTCAATGCTAGCTTAAGCATAAAAATAACAAAGGACAAGACAGAAGAAACAATTACTCCCTCCGTTCAATAAAAAGTGTCACTTTTAGGGAATCGTGACTTTCATAAATTGAACTGTCCCGATTCTCGAAATACGACACTATTTTTGGAACGGATGTAATAAGATAAAAAATAATTTAATTGCTTGTATGGAGATAAAATTGACTAACCATGTAATGTATGGCGCAATAAGTTGAACACAAATTGGAGTTGAAAATAACAAAATTTTATAATCACGGAGCTCATATGTTCTAAATCGTCATATTTAGCTTTAAAAGCATATTTACTTTCTTTCACGAGAAATGCAGGGAAGACCCGAAACACAACTTAGATCAAACCCAGCGCGAGCATTAAGTGTACAATATCAATATCTATGTTGAATGAAATGTTTTCCTATGCACATTACACACAAGTGGGGCCCATGTAATATTACACACCCCAAATGCCACAGCTGAAGAATCAAGTAACGCCTGGCAATGGGCAGTAAAAGCAGGCGTGGTGGGCCATGGTGTGGGCCTTTGTGTGTGATAATAATATAAAATGGAAAAGTGATATTGTGTGATGATGTGTAAAATAATATAATAAAGTGTAAGATGAAAAAATAAATGAACAACAAGAACTTAGAACTTTCAAAATAAGTATACAATCAATTGCTGATGTGACTGTACACTTTATATAAAGTTGCTGATGTGGCTATACACTTTATATAATGGGAAAAAACTCCTGGGGTTTTTTTGTTTCAAAAATTAAAACAACTGACATTAATTGAAATAATAGTTACAATGTAGGCCTTTAGCCAAACCAACCCAATAAGGGAAACAACAATAAGTCCAAAGAGGACATGCAGCCCAAAAGGGGAAAACAAAGAAGCCCAAGCAATGAGACAGGCCCATTGACAACACAAAGATAACTACCACAGTTAACGGATTAGAAGCTGTTAATTGGGGAAGAGATTAATAATCCGGTAATCGAGCTCGAGATCCTCTATTAAGGAGGATAGCCGTTGAATCAGTCCGGCGAACGCGGAGGGGGGCTGCAACGAGAAGGAGAGAGATTCCAGTCAGCAAGGATACGATGGGATGCTGCACAATCCTTCAGAACCCCTAATTTGAGGATTGAGGTAATGGAGTTGCATATCTTTGCAAGCACTGCTCTCTGAGAGGACTTCTTCCTTTGGAAGATTCTGGAATTGCGTTATTCCCATGAGTGGTAAATCACAGCTGATAGACCAATCTTGCGCAGCTAATTAGTAGGTAAGTTAGACTTCCAAGTGCAGCTGATATGTTGGATCAGAGCCTCCCAGTTTTGGATTGGAGAGTGGAAGTGAATTTTGTCACGGATAAATCTCCAAATTAGTGAAATGAAGCTGCAACTGAAGAACAGATGGGAGTGGGATTCAGGAGAGAGGTTGCATAGCACACAATTGTTGTGGTGTTGCACTATGGATTTACTGTCAAGAATGGGGAGTTTGGATTGAACTGCGACCCATAAGTTAAATTTCATCCTTGGAATTGTTCCATACTAAGTTGTACCAATTGACTAAGGGGAAATTGCCTACAAGATAAGCTGAGGTGTGGCTGAAATTGTAGACACCTGAGGGGGAGATGGACCAAGTTTTCTTGTCTTCCTTTGATGAGCATAGATGGTTTATGGAGATTAATTCTGGAATTGCAGTGGTGATGGTGGTAGGGAAAGACCAAGTTGAATTGGTGATAAATGTACTCACTGGGATATCCAATTGAAAGGCAACATCTAAAAGAATAGAGGGTTGAAATCTAGAGCATAAAGGTCCACCTGGAGCCTAGTTGTCCCACCAGAAAGATGTTCCATTGCCATCTCCAATTTTGTGCTTAGTGATTGACATAGCATGATGCCTCAACTGGAGAATCTTCCTCCAACTCCATAAGCATGGCTGAGGATAGGTTAGAGTCCATCGATTTCTGGATTTGATTAAGTGAGTGTGACACCAATTTACCCAAATTTTGTTGTTGTCATGAGATTGGAGGTCCCATATGTATTTGAGAATGCTAGCCTTGTTGCTTAGTTCCAAGTTAGGGATGCCCAAACCACCTACATTCTTTGGCTTGCATACCTTACTTCATGCAACTTTGGCAGAGGTGGATTTCATTTCTGGTCCAGACCAAAGGAATGCACTGAAGATACTATTGAGTTTGTTGATTACTGCCTTTGGGAGGATGAAAATGCCAGACCAATAGAGCTGTGTAGAGACTAGGACAGCCTTGATCAACTGCAGCCTTCCTACATAGGAAAGTGATCTAGAGGTCCAGTGTGTGATCTTGTGGGTTATCTTCTCTATAAGCAGGCTACAATGAGAAGTTTTTAGATTTGTTGAAATGAGTGGAACCCCAAGATATCTGACTGGGAGAGTCCCAACCCCAATGCCAAGCAAGGAGGTGATGCAGCTCTCTGTGTATTGATCAGTCCCTGAGAAAAATATAGAACTTTTATTGAGGTTAATAGCAAGGCCAGACATTGTACTAAAAGTGATCAATTGCTGATTTCAAAGAGAGGTGAGTGATCTTGGGTCTTTACATCTCCAGTGGAACTTGAAGGCTTGTACTATACCTATATAGTAGTTGATGATGGATGAGAGTTCATCCATTACAATGACAAAGAGGAAGGGGGAGATTGGATCTCCTTGCCTAAGGCCTCTTTTCCCTTTGAAAAAACCCTGGAACTCCCCATTAAGTGCAATAGTGAATGAGGGTGAGGATATGCATGCCTGGATCAGTGAGATGAATTTCTGTGGAAAATTTAGTTGGGTTAAGCAGCTGATTATGAAATCCCATTTAAAAGAATCAAAAGCTTTCCTTAAATCAATCTTGATTGCACATCTTGGTGGAGAGTTATCCTTGTGGTACCCTCTTAGTAGCTCATGAGCAATGAGAATTGGATCATTGATCTTCCTACCTTTAATGAAGGCTGACTGAGAGGGATCAATGATGAATGGGAGGGTTGTTTGCAGCTTGTGGGCAAATAGCTTGGCAATACACTTGTAAATTATATTGCAACATGAGATAGGTATGTAATCATGTGTGGAGGAAGGATTTTGACACTTTGGGACCAAGGAGATATAGGTGTTGTTTGCCTCAGCTAGGAGTTTCCCATTTCTGAAAAATTATGAGATTGCTGTAGTGACTGATCTTCCAATAATGGGCCAAGATTTCATGAAGAACAACCCATTGTAGCCATCGGGTCCAGGGGCTTTATCCTTTTTGATGGAGAACATGCAGTTCCTAATTTCAGTAGGAGAAGGATTGTTATCAAGGTAGGTTAAGAGATTGTGGGGAACCTGCTTGGTGAAAAAAGGTGTAAGGTCACTTAGGTGATGAGTGGTAGGAGGTGAGCAACTCAGCAAATTTTGGAAATGTGAGACAACTTCAAGCTTGATGGAGTCCATATCATCAATCATCTGTCCTGAGTCCATGGTAAGTGATACAATCTTTTTCCTGTTGTTTCTAGAAGAAAGGGATTTGTGGAAGAATAAGGAGTTGCAATCTCCAAGTTTCAGCCAATTTATCCTTGATTTCTGTCTCAACATATCTTCTTGAATCTTCCCGAGCCTTAGAAACTTTGAGA